AACACACCACAAGCCTCACCGAATGTCTCCTTGCTACTGTGATCTCGCCCACAGGAAGCCGCGACCGCGAGGCAGCAGGGCAAATGGCCGCAGATCCGGTTCGTAGCTCAAGGCGGAGTTCGCATGTCGAGGTAAATTTTTGGGGCCGGAGCTGGTCATATCTTGAAAAATTCGTAACTAGAGGTGTTCGTAACTAGAGGTACCACTGTATCTTAAAGTCTGTCAAGAGCTATGTCACAGACGTAAATTATCTGTATGCCTATTAACTGTTCTATACAAGTGCAGATTTTTTTTTAACAAGACAGAAAGGGCTAAAAGAAAGTTAAAAGATCTGTAGTAAACAGTATGCCTATCAGAGCAGACCACAGCACGCAAAGATGTCAAATAGCAGGCAAAAGAATATGCCTGAGAAACAGCATAAAAACCACAAAGCCCCCAGAATGCTTTCACTGCTTTCTTGAGCTGTCAGGCTTTATATGGATTGCCACAGCATTGCCAATTTGCTAAGCCTATTGGCTACCTATTTTGACTAGTAAACAATTATGGTTGGGTCTTCAATCACCAGAGTTATTCAATGGTCCCTAACAGGACCCCTTTAGAAATGCTCACTTTTAATTTGGATAGATGCTATGGTAAGAGATAAAAGTTTCATTGTAGGTCTGGAAACCATGTAATTGTGTACACAATAAATAGAACCCTTTAAACCTTCTTTTTATTTTTATTTTGAAAAAAATGACAGTTGCTGGCAGCAAGACTATATACATGATGTCAGGTAGAAAGGCCCAGATACATTGCTCAGTCTAACAGATCAATTTGTATTCCCTAAACATATTTAAATGACAAGCTAAGCCAAAATTACACTGCTATACAGAGGTTTATGTGACTTCTGTATTTTTAAGGGGGAAGTAAAGTTTCCAGACAGACTTTCTAAAAAATCAAAGGCTTAACTAAGCCAGGGTTAACAAACCAGGGATGAAACTGGTTTATTATGGTACATTCACACAGCATACATTATGTGGCTTGTGGTTTGCTGTGAATGTCACAACAGGATCTTCCAATAGCCAATATGGGCTTGTTTGGAGTTTTGCCACACCACCCATCAGTGCTGAGCCAAAAAATGCATATGAAGGAACCAATGGCTCACGTTAGACTTGTTTTTCTTTACAGTGCAGAGATGCTGCTGACAGGTGACCTGAAAACTTCAGAACAAACATCTGATCCCTTCCCAGTCAGGTGGCAGTAGAGAAATCTGCCTGTCTGATAACAATACAAAAACCAGAGATGACGACGTCTGGCCCATTTACATTCCTGAGCAACATGGAAACATCATCCCTCATATTAACAGAAAGTCATATGTAATGCTTCAGGGAATACCTTTCTGTTGGGGCTGCTGCAACAATGGCTGTGGCTGGGCCTGAAGCAAAGGTGTTATAGAAGCGGCTGATATTTGTGCCTGCAGGAGTGGCTGGGGCTGCGCCTGGACACTGAACGCAGGCTGCTGTGCGATGGGCTGGAGCCCTGGTGGAGGAGTCTTGAGTAAAGGCTGGGTCTGAGTCTGGTTCTTATAAGGGGAAAAAAGGGACACATTGTGAATGAGCTTTACTTTGGAGGTGCCAATAAACAGCAGACTGAAGAGCTTATCATACCTGGTTTGGTAGCGTCTGAATTCGCTGTGCGTTCCATTTGAAAGGCATGTTAGGATTATAAGTGGCTTCTACCAAGACACGGTCTCCAACTTGGGGAGTCTTCCCTTTAACAGCGCTGCAGAATTGAAGACGGCCACTTCATTAGATTTATGCCAGCACTCTCCCCAGATGAAATCAAGTCTTAGAAGAGAAATTCTTGGTATATTTGCTGGGTAGAACAGGTTTCAAAAAAATAGGCATGGGACTAGCTGAGGATTTTACAAACCATGCAAATTAAGTAAAGCATACCACCTCTTCTCTCTGCAACCTTCTGAATATGTCTTCTTGGAAGCATCTGGGGCATTTAAAGAAAGGGTATTCTATTTGGGCCCTTAATAATAATGTTAAAATAGATTCCAGTAAAATATAATTCACTGCTGTTTCTATTCATAAATTCTGCCACCAATTATCTACAGACCAGAGAGTAACCTACCTGAGTTGGAAGAACACATCTTCATCAACGAAACCAAATGTGTCGTGGAGCTTGGTAACCACCCCAGTGAAGACCCGCTGTTTCTGGGGCTGGGTCTGCTGCTGACTTGACCGTGGTGCTGGATAAGAAACAGTTATCTGTGCTGCTGGCTGAGGTGTAGAGAGACTAAGGCTTGTTGGCAGTGCCACAGCTGGCTGAATAAAAAATGAAACAGGAGGCCATGTAAGCATTCAGACCTTTCTAAATGTCAGGAAGTAACTGATATTTGATAATGAGATGGTACCAAGTGATGGAATGGTGTCTGTCAGAAGCACAAGGAGGACAAGATGACCAAGTAAAAGTTTTTTCCCCCATCTGTAAACCACAAGAATCTCATCTCAGGACAAAAGGCAACCAGCATCAATTATTAACTGGAAGCTGAGAAGGTTCCTTAGTCCTTATCATCTAAAAGTTCTCTATACAAAAACATTTCCAGATTTCAAATTTTGCCCTACTATTTTATTTTATTATTGCCAGTTCAACCATATATTGTTCTATTTTTTCCACTTTTTCTAGTTGTCTAAATGACTTTTCACTCAGCTTTGTAAAGATGCACCTGCATTTTTTTAAAGGGACATGCTATGTATCAAAATAAATGTTTTTACCACTAAGTATTCTGGTGTTAACAAAATGAAAGCAATTTGCTCTGAAAAAAATGCTAATTTCATTTCTTAAACAACTTAAAAATATTTTCAAACGACAGTATTATTGTTTGAAATTCAAAGCATACATATTTGGAAGTTATTCCACTGATACTTTAAAAATGTAAAACTCCCAACATGTATCTGATACTTTATTCTAAAATATGAGCTACCCAACATGAAAGTACTATTTCTTCAAAGTAGTACTGTAATGGGGAGAAAACAGGAGGAGGAAGCATTATATACAAAACAAAGGTGGGATATAAATTTAATAAATAAAGTTAATACTACAATACTTACCCTGGAAAAACATATCCATGGGTTTAATCAAAATAATATTATACACAAACTGCATTGTAAAATCTGTCAGTTGTTTACATCAACTAAAAACAGAGCATACACAAATATTTACATTAGGTTTTATGGCAATAGAATTTTTAAAAAGCTAACTAACCTGAGTTAAAAGTGTTTGCTGAGGCTGCTGCAACTTAAAAAATAAACAAGATAATTAGTTTTTATATTGCCCAACTTCTGATTTTTTCGCTTATGTTTACATATTTAGAATATTCCAAAATATGTTTATGCCTGCATTCCACCTATTGCAAACAGCAAATAGTTTCAAAACTCCATGAAAGTATATGCAACATTACAATTTAATTACTATACTAAAATGTGACTATTATATATATTTCTCATTTTGTGTTGAATTGCTCTACCTATTCAGGGAAAGACTGGATACAAAGAAGTAAGAACATCCTTTATTAGATAGGAAAATGTTTCCTTTGTTGTATTATTTAAAACCATGTACTTCCCTTTACTATTCTAAGAATATATGGAAGTGTAACAGAAATTCTATAATACAGGTATCAGCTGGTTTCCATATAAAATTTATATACATGCAGACTGCAATATTCACATAAATAAGCCTTTCCAATTTTTTTTAAAAAGGATATTTCAACCATCAAAACTAATAGTAATAGATTTTCCAAATCTTCACTATAATTTTTCCTCCATTTAATATAAGCTAAATGTATCTGTTTCATGCACCCATCATTAAACAGTATATAAAAGAAGCAGCGACTAAACCAATGTCAAATAATGCTTACTGATGCACCAAGCAATGGTGTTACAGATTACTTTCATAAGCCTTTCATGTATTTAAACACATATTTAACTTAAAAAGTCTCCTTTGGGTCAAGTTTGACTCCTGTGACTTCATGGACTTGCCAGTATAGGGGTTTTTTTGGCAACAATATGGAAGTGCTTTGTGGACTTCTACCCAGTCCTTAAAAAAATGCCTGATTCAGACACAACACAATGTGAGATCATGATCATAAAGAGTTACACAAACCTGCTGTTGTACACTATAGAGGGTCTGCTGAGGTTGTGAATATTGCTGAAAAACATACAAACAGTGAATAACTAAAAATATGTATCACAAGAATATATTTCCATACTATAATCTCAGACAATTACTTGTAAAATTACATTAAACTAATGCTGTAGATTAACAAAATATTGGTAATATTCTACTAGCTAAATAAAATTGTACTGGAATGCAGGAAATGTTTTTATCCTTACCGTATAAAAATATCACTTCAGATTCTACAACATGAATGGATGTGACATGTATGGAGCACAGTTTACTAGGAAGTATCCCTATAAGATGAATGTTAGCTGCACAAAAGCATGAATGCTAGTTTAATAGTGCATCTTATTCTGTTCTAATTTACATCAGTTATTTGGGAGGAAGAAGTACCCTTGCAGGTTTTCATTTAAAGCTTGTGTGGGGCTCTTGATTTCCAAAATCATACTTCTAAACCAGAAATAATTCAACATGAACTAACCCAAGATTTAGGGTCACACTACTTCTGGAGCTCAAAATACAGTCTCAGAGCAGATTAGGCAGAACTTGCAAAGTCCTGTTAAGTAGTAACGTGTAATAGGTTTCCCAAAAAATACTGAGGCCCTCTGTTATACACACACACAGCTGGAGTGCAGTAAATAAAAACAAAATAAAAATTGTTCAGTTTTCCAGTTTGTTATTTGACATTATAACTGGGTACACTGGGTGAAAGGCCGCTCTGTTTACCTGCTGTAATGCTGCAGCTGCAGCCGCAGCTTGCTGTTGCAAAGCAGCTGTCTGAGTGAGCTGATAGTTGGTCGGTGTCTGAGTACTGAGGCCTGCTGCCGCCAACGCAGTTTGCTGTGTATATATTGTAGGAGATGCTCCAAGTAATGAAGGTTGCTGTACACCCAGAGCAGCTGAAAGGAAAGAGCTGAACATTAGGAAATCTTAATTTTGATTAGTAGGACTTCACATCAAATCTGGCACTATAAATTTTAATAGCACTAAGATTTTGGAGAAAAATTGACTCCTCTTTGCATTTCGAAAGGTGCAACTTTAGTTTTAAATTGAAGCAAAAATACTTCCTTGTTTAATACACAGTGCTGAATGTACAATGCTGGCAAAGTAGATATTTATTTAAACATGGAATGCAAATTAATGCAATAGGCCTGCTTTTATGTTACAGAGTTAATGGTCATTCTATACAAATTCAGGTGATCGCACTGAATCAAGTTCTTCTTACAGTGTGCCAAGTCAGTACCTCAATTTAGAAGAATAATCTTATTTCAACACTTCGCTTGCTTTCTAATGAGAATGCTATTGCAGAAGGCCAAATAGCCTTGCCATGTCGGTTTAGGAAAAGGCTTGACATTTTAAGTGAGCATCACATCAGAAGAAATTGCTCCAAAAGTATTTAATTACTCTGGCTTTCTGAGATTAGTTCCAGCTTCTTATAACCTCTTTTATTCATCTACAACCTCATGTTAAATGTGTGGCTTGTTCTCCCCTGATGTTGCTTATCTGCATAAAATGGCATGTCTTTTTCTAATTCACAGCATTTCAAAGTACTTTTTTTAAAAAGTGCAATATTCTAGCCCATGAAGATACAAATATCTTAACTGGATGTTCCAGATAATACACTCATTCCTGAGAAAATGAAAGATCATTTGTGATCGGCTTAAAACAATACACAGTTCCCCATGATAAAGAAATTAACAAAAACATAAGAGAATAAATACAGGTGACCAATAAAACTTGACCGTTTTCTTGTTATACCTGTACAGCAGTTTATATCCTCTTTTTTTCCAATTGCAGATAATGCAGAATTAGTTTTATCTATTTATTGTATCCACATTTATTGTAACCAACAGAGATTCAATTTACAAAACAATCAATAAAAACAACTATAACAGTGAAAACATTCACAGCAAAGATGAAATAAAAAATAATTTACAAAGATAATTATAATGATAATAAAAATAAATAGAACAAATTATTATCAATCACTAAATCAATATAAGTACTTCAAAATGAAATAAAATTACAGATGATGATAACAAACCACCTGGAAACATTTCCAAAGAGTGTTTGGTTGAATAGTCTTAGGAAAAGTTTGCAGATGGACTTCAAAGGTAGCTTCACGTAGAGCACACTGCAGAAGTCTACTTGAAAAGTTGCAAGCACTACAAAAGCCCTCCTGGCCACAGCCTCCCCCTGCCCATTCAGCAGCAGCCTTGACTCCAGGAAGGTTCTGAAGTCCTGGAGCTGCTCCCTCAAGGTAGTACTACTCCAGTGAGAGACAACACTAGAATTTATCGAGAATATCAACTGACAAATTATAAGTTCAATTTTAACTTGTTTCATGTTATCTAGATCCATAGAACTTCTAGGCACCAGAACAAGACTTTAACTGCATTACCAGTTTAATCTGGAGTGAAAATGTATAGTGAAGTATCATCAGCCTACTGATGATGCCGCACCCTGAACCAATGAATGAAGCAAGCAAATACTTTACTTGTGTTCACATGTGTCTGAAATGATCCTGGAGACACTCATGTACTGTATGTATTTGTTCTTCAAGCTATTTATCCCTTTGCTGAATACAGTGGTACCTCTACTTACGAACGGCCCTACATACGAAAATTTTGAGATACGACCAGCTCCGGCACCAAAAATTTACCTCTACTTACGAACTTGCCTCGACT